CCCCCCCCCCCCCCCCCCCCCCCCCGCCTCTTTTTTTAAACCCATGCTGAAAAGAGTACAGAACACCGTCCTATAGTGCAATGCTGATAAGAAAAAATTTTGTTGAACGTTGTTCCATGCTAGACCATCACGTGTGACTCATAAAATGCGCGAAAGAAAAGGACTGAAGATCAGGAATGTTCGATTGGAGAAAAAGAAACCGTCAATGAAGGGCCGGGAGCTAATTGGTATAGCCGCGAGTATCGTGTTGCGTGTCTACCGTATAGTCGTGTAGCTAGCCAGTTTGCTTTCACGGTCCTGCTGTTTGAGGCCCTTCTTATTGAATATCTTCCAAAACCGCAGAGTCTCATCACCGGCGCCAGTAACGACTGTCTGGCCATCGGGGCTCATGGCGAGGTAGAGGACTCGGAAAGTATGCCCAGTGAGTGAGACGACCTGTTCCATTCGTGGGTATTTCCAAACCACAATCTGATTCTGGCTGTAACCATGGGTGCTGACGATCTCATCAGAATTTTTGGACCATGCTAGATTGCAGACCTGGCTTCCGGTATCGACTTCTTTTATCAAAGAGCCTGTTGATGTGTTCCAGAACTTTATTGTACGGTCTGCCGTACCTCCTCCGGAGGCTAAGAGAGAATGCTGATGAGGAGACCACGCAATCGCCTTGACGGCAGCGGTATGGTCTGTGAATCGGTACAAGGGTGCTTCGTTTAGTTTATCCCAAACTATCAGTTTATTGTCGTTGCCGCCAGATGCAAGTTGACCGTCATCCGTGTTCCACTTCAGGCCACAAACCTCTTGTTTATGCCCAGCAAGTCGGCGAAGATACTGGTCAGGGGAACGAACATCTCGGTGGAATATTAGCCGATCACGAGATCCTGATGTGAGAATATGATCATTCCAAGCTAGAGCTCCAACACGGAGAGTATGTCCTGTCATTGTCCGTAGCCGACGGCAATGCTCCGCATCCCAAATCTGTACAAGTCCTTTACCAGTCCCAATGGCAAGATGGGTTCCCTTTTGATAAAGGTTAAAATTATACATATTAATGTAAAGGTAAAGAAAGAAAAACTTACCCGTTGGATCCAATTAACACTGGTCACTGTATCATCGTCTAATTGACACAGTTTGGTGACTTGGCCATTGATAGAATCCCACATGTAGACAGCAGATCCAAGACCAACTCCCAGTATATTACTGCTACCCCAGTCTACCAGGTTTAGATAGAAATCGTCGGTGAGGTCGGGAGCATCTAGGACCTTAAAGGGTACTTTGTTCACATATCTGGGTTGTTTTCGGAGGCTCTGGAGAATTTGTTGACTGTCAAACCGTATGGGAGAAAGGCTGTACAGTTCGGAGCGGGCATCAAAATTAGGGCCATGCTGGCTGCGGGGTGTTCGAGAAGGGGTAGGGTTTCCGGATGCGTTTCGAGGGGATGTATAGGAAAGCAGGTTCTTGCTAGGGGTTGAAGGGGTTATGCTGGCGGGGGGTAGAGACATAGCAAGCTTATGTGACTGGGGGGTATTAGAGGCGAAATCCCGAGAGGCACTCGAGCGTCTGGGAAGTGGGTTAGGGGAGAGAGAATGTATATCAGGCTGGGGTATTGTAGAGCCAAAGAACTCATTGCGTAGTACTCTGGAGTATGTTCGGTTGGCTTCCTCTGCTACAAAGAAGGACAAAGGTAAGCGGAAGTGTTATATAATAACAAGGCAGACGCGTTAATGCTTACTTTTTTGTGAATGGATTTCGCCGTGTGTTGACTTTTTCTTTGTTTTTGAAGGTGTTGATGGACATCCATCTTCATGAAGCAGGCTGAATCCGGCCTGTAGGTCTTGCCCCTCACGGTTGGGAATAAACCTGCATGCACTCGTTAGCAAATAGATGTATAAACAACAATGGAATAATATAGGTAAACAAGAGTATCGCAACATGACAAAGCAATGCAGAAACACAGGCAATTGCTAGTCTGATACATACCTATCACCATAAACCCTTTGTCGTTTCCGGCTAGGGCTACTGCCCGGAGTTCTTTCACGCTGGAGGCCGGCATCTTCAAAGTCCTGCAGCGCTCGAGCCAAGGCATCTGGGTTTACCGGCTCAGAACCAGGTCTGGAGCGCTGTCTGGTAGAGCGAGTCTTGCTCTGTGTCGACTTGGACTTGATCCCATGGCTTGGGGGCGGCGAGTTGGACGCCGGCGGGGAAATGGGTTTCCTGTCCATGCTGGCGGCAAGGGTATCTGCTTTGGCCATACGGGCGGCCGATGCGCGAGTGCGGCCTATCTTATGCCCCGTCTCCGCCATTCTTTTCCTCTCCAGGTGCAACTACTTCCCTGAGAGGGGAGGAGAGCTCTTCTTCTAGCCGATAAACACGGGCGATAACGACGACAACCGACAATGCGGAGAGGGCGTTGAGGCATCAAACGAGCGACCTTCGGGAACAGCGAACGAGCGATAGTTATCAGGCTTGGAGTCGAATGCGACAGGAGCGCAACAGGCGTGTCCTCCGTGGATGCCGTACCGTTCGGTTGGCGACCAGGTAGTTACAACTAGCTAGGCGCTGGGTGGTGGACTTGTCGCGACGGGGAAAACGAACATCGAAAAGGGGGCTGGGGACCTCTATGTACGACCGTGCGGCTGGTCGGTTCCTCGAGTATCGGCGGACGCAAATCCCAAGGGCCGCCCGTCACTGGCGCCGGCGAGCTTTTTGGAGGGCGAGAGATAAGATGGGCCGTTTCGTGACTATCGGGTGTTGTTGTTATTTATTTTGTTTTATGTTTCTTTCTTTCTTCCTTTGCTGCTGGTCAAAGCGAGCGAACTTTCGACATCAAAACAAGCTTCGTCGTCCCAAAGGGGAAACCTGCCTAAAGGGGAAATGGATAAACAAAAACCCGCGAAGTCACGCGTGAAGGGCGCTAGGCCTAAAAGGTTAGTCACATGAGTACCCCGGATGAGTCAGCGTCTTAGTCATGTTAGCCTTAGTCAGCCGAGGATAGACGAGAGAAAGCTTATTACGTAACATCGCCGAACCAGACGTCCAGGATAAACACTTAGTAACAAACACTTAATGCACCAAACATCCATAAGTGAGCCTATATAAAGCGCCAGACGGAGACGCTGTGCTTGTTGCATCTTCTTCCCTTTTCTTCTTCTTCTTTTCTTGGTTTTGACATCTGGATGTCCCTCGCTCTGCTGGACACTGGTGCTGCTGCTCGTTGCGTCTGCCTGTCTCTGCTTCGTCTGCCGGCTGCTTCACCTAGGACTCGCCGGACTGTTACTCTGCTTACCCCGTCTTTACGGACCCTAGCCACGATGATCACCGCTGACGAAAAGGCGCGGGCGCAGGACTTTTTGTCCTTTGTCAACGCCTCTCCCACCCGTAAAAGACTGACTGCCTGCTGATTTTACCATTGGAACATACTGACGATCGGAACATAGCATTCCATGCCGTCGCTTCTGCGACTAAACGCTTTACCGATGCTGGATTCAAGGAGATAAAGGTAGAGTTTCCCCTCTTTTCCCCTCCGGATAGCATTACCGTGGGTTGAAATTCTCTGTCTGACACTGCAATTATTAGGAGAAAGACTGCTGGTCAGAGGTCTGCAAGCCCGGAGGCAAGTACTATGTTACTCGCAATGGCTCTACCATCATTGCATTTGCCGTCGGTAATAAGTGGAAGGTCAGTTTTGCTCATTTCTCAGTACCAACGAGATGAAATGTTACCATTGTAACAATACAAAACGAAGTGTAACAAAAAAACAATGATCTAACATCCGCTCAGCCCGGTAACTCCATTGCGATGATTGGTGCCCACACGGATTCCCCATGCTTGAGAATCAAGCCAGTTTCCAAGCGAACCAACGAAGGGTTCATCCAGATAGCCGTAGAACCCTATGGTGGTGGTATATGGCACACTTGTATGCATTAATCTTCTACCCAATGACAGTTCTGGTAGTTCGTTACTAACGAATAGGCAGGGTTCGACCGTGATCTCGGCATTGCAGGCCGTGTGATGGTTAGGCAACAGGACGGTACCATTGCCTCCAAATTGGTTCATGTTGACAAACCAAGTATGTGGACAGTGTTAAGCAGCTACCTATTTTGAAACTTATGCTAACTTGGGTGTAGTCCTCCGTATTCCAACTCTGGCCATTCATCTTGACCGTACAGAGACCTTTGCCTTTAACAAGGAAACCCAGCTCGTTCCAATTTGCGGAATGGTAGCTGCGGAGCTTTCAAAGACTGCTGAGGGCGCTAAATCTGAGGAGGCTGATGGTGCAGTCTCTCCATTCAAGAAGATCACTGAGCGTCACCACCCTTGCTTGATTGAGCTCCTAGCTTCTGAACTCTCTGCCAAGCCAGAGGATATCATCGATTTCGAGATGCTTCTCTATGATACCCACAAGTCATGCCTCGGTGGTATGATGGATCAGTTCATCTTCTCCCCAAGACTCGACAACCTCAACTCATCTTTCTGTGCCACTGTTGCTTTGGTCGAGTCTCTCGCAAAGCCATCTGCCTTGGAGAACGAATCCGCTATCCGCCTGGTTGCTCTCTTCGATCACGAAGAAATTGGCAGCAGAACCGCTCAGGGCGCTGATTCAAACATCCTCCCAGGCATCATCCATCGCCTGTCCATGCTTCGTGTATCTGGAACCAAGTCAGACGAGGATCTCTCTACTGCCTACGAGCAGTCCCTTTCGACCTCCTTCCTCGTCTCCGCTGATATGGCTCACGCCGTTAACCCAAACTACGCCTATAAGTACGAGAGCGAGCACAAGCCAGAAATCAACAGAGGACCAGTCATCAAGGTCAATGCCAATGCCCGTTACGCTACCAACTCCCCTGGTATCGTTTTGATGCACGAGATTGCTCGTGCCGCTGAAGCAAAGAGCGACATCTCATCAGACTCCATCGTGCCAATGCAGTTGTTGGTCGTTCGCAATGACTCTAGCTGTGGCAGCACCATTGGACCCATGCTTTCGGCTGCTCTTGGATCCAGAACGCTTGATTTGGGAAGCCCACAGCTAAGCATGCACAGTATCCGTGAGACCGGTGGAACAAAGGATGTTGCCCTTGCAACTCGACTCTTCACCAGCTTCTTCGAGAACTACACCACCTTGGCTCCCAAGATCCTAGTTGACTAAGTTATCTCATAGTTGGTCTGAAAGATGGAATAATCTAGCTTGACGATTATTTCGGATGTCCATAGCTTTTTCACATATACCCGCTCTCTCACACTGCTGGATGCTGCTAGTGCAGATTGGTAGATTGAACATAAACAACAAAACTGATACGATATATCATCCTCCCGTCCTATTCTCGTAACCTATTCAGAGCTAGTCACATTGTATCATCCTAGACAGTCTTCTCTCCCGATACTTCGTCCATATGCTGGGCTGTTGGCTCCTTAACGTCTTCATCCTCCAGCACCTTAACGTTGGCTAACCCTGCCCGTTCCCTCCCAATCTCCTCCAGGGTCTTACCATCTCTTCTCTGTCGATCTAATTCCCTCGCTGCCGTCTCTTCCTCATCTCTCTCTTCCTGCGACATCTCTGGTCCTAGGAATAACAAAACTAACAAAAACACCCATACTGCTCCCATAAATATCGCCATGACCTTTCCGTAATCAAACCTCTTTTTCCCATGCGGTCCATCAGGCAATGGGAACCTCTCGCCAATGATAGCCTGGATAGTAGCAGAGGCGGATGAAGCTAGGTTACCCAGTTGATAGGTCAATCCAACCAATAAGCCTCGCAAAGATTGAGGAGAAAGCTCTGAAAGGTAGATAGGGATAGGTCCCCAAACCCCACCGATGAACCATTGCTGCCAGAAGGATGATGCGATCAAGGCGTCAGACCTGGGCAATACGTATGCGGGGATAATCGCTGCACCAAAGACACAGCTTATAATCATTGCCAACCTTCTCCCGAGGAATGTGCTGATCCATCCTATAAGTGTGCCGCCGATAACTCCGCCTAGGCTGCCAGAAACAATAATGACAGTTGTCTGTGTTGCTGTTTTCCCTACTTGGTCCTTGAGGAATGTTGGATAGAAATCTTGGCTTCCGTGAGAACAAGAGTTGAAACCCGTCATAATAACCACGAGGTAGACCATCAAGAACCAGTTTTCCTTGAGTCCAGGGGCAGATTCTTTCCAAAACGCACGTAGTCCATTCATTCGAGATTTTGGGACAGTGTTAGAAGTGACGGACGGTTGCAAAGCGGCCTCCTCTGCCATTATTCGGCTTTCTCGCTCTGCTTTCATGACTTGGAAATGGTAGGTCTCGGGGAGGCTCCATCTCCAAATGATGATGAGGATTGGGGGTGCGGCGCCAAACCAGAAGAGACTTCGCCATCCATATTTAGTAGTTGGTACAAATGCCCGATAGAATATAGCTGCAAGCATATAACCTGTGCCGTAGCCTTGTTGGAAAAGCCCAGAAGCGATACCTCGAGCGTCGTAGGGTAGGTCTTCCATTGCGGTTGCAGCGGCCGGCCCAAAGAGACCTAATATATCCGCAGTTAGTACATTGCGTTAACTACATACAGCAAAAATAGTAACCTACCTCCCATAGCAATCCCATATAGAGATCTAACAGCTAGAAATTGGGACAAGTTCTGGCAAAACCCCGAGCCTAACTCTAAGAAGACAAATAAGGCCAAGTTGACAATCATTGGCCATTTTCTTCCATACCTGTCTGCAAAAAAGCCGAAGATGATGGCACCAACAGAACGCAGCATAAGTGTCACGGTCAACCCCTATGAAAAAGAAACTTAGACACATTTTCCAGGGCTGTGAATATATGGGCGCCAGCTTACCCACGATACTTCCGAGTTTGTAACTCCAAATTCAGTGGCTAACTCCGTTATGGTGAGAGAGACAGTGAAGAAATCGAATGCATCCCATACCCAGGCGACAAAGCCAACACCAAACATAAGCCAGTGATGGCTATTCAGCTCGCGTAGGACGCGATAAGGGTTCTTCAATTCAGTCTTTATCAAAGCTAACATCAGCAAGACGTCCTTTTTCTTTCAAAACCAGGTATTCTCCAAGGGGCAGTAGTTCAGGGGTCACCTTTGGTGGCTTAAGACTGGACACTCGCGTCATGAAGTAACGCCGGATCTGTTCTGGCGAGTAGAACCATCCTGCCGCCATATGATTCTTCATGTTGGCTTTGGTGCTTATCACAACCCTTTGTCAAGGTAATTGAGATTATTGATTGATGGGATAAAATCACAACTCCATACTAGTTATAGGAAAGGGATATAATTTTGGGGCCATGCTACGAACCAACATCGAGCGAAGGCTGTGCTTAATATAAGGTACCCCCAAGATGCCGATATCGCAAGTGGGTAGCTCACTTGTGCAACACCCAAAGTGGATATACCGTTCTCCACGTTGCAATGCACAATCCGGGGACCCCATAAATCTGGGGTTAGCCGAACTCAAGAGGGGTGGTATAACAAGTATTTGGCGAAAGTTTCTATGATATGAGATTTCTCCCCCGCAGCATACTGCGGCATATAACTTCGGGATATAGCAGAGACTATCGTTTTCAGGGTATCCCAGCCCAAGGCGGGCAACAAAGTGACGCGTACCATGTCCATGCGAATCCTCACTAGCGAGTTGGGGTTGCGGGGAAGAAAGATAGCTGATAGTAGAATGGTAGAAGGACGAACAGCTTTCCACAGACCGCCGACTAGCTAGGTACTAGATAGTTAACTAGTCGACCGGGGTTTTAGGCGGCTGGGAGCGAGATGTTCTTCCAATCGGATGTGCATTTGGGACTAGCTCCTGAAACTGTTGTCAAAGAAAAGGCGTAGGATTAGCTTGTCACGACGTCCCAAACACAGGCATCCAGGGAATCAGTCTTGATATTGCACTTGGGCGACAGCGTGGTAACCGGTTAACTCGTCGGTTAACTCACTAACTAGCCTCCGATATGCTCCGAGCGGTATTCGTAGGCCAGAAGAGCGGTGATATCTGATACTGGACGCAATGAAGTATCCAACTAGAAAGACAAATCGTCAGCGGTAGCCCCATGATCCTAGACTTACAAGGAACAGATATCCCCGTCGCCTAATCGTGGAGAAGTTGTGGTTGCTGGGCGCGGCGTCGTCTAAGGTCGGCTCTTTAAGCGCAGAATAGAGTTTCCAGAGGTGGGATTAAAGTCGACGTCAGTTTTCGGCTTCGGCTTCAGCCATCAACAAAGACACCGGGATCTCAGTAGAGTAGCCGGAGTCAATTGGCCTCGATAGATAGAGAAAATGGCGTCTCTTCAGTATCTGACTGGTGACAAGTCTGGCATCCAGCAGTTTGTCGACAAGTTTGACGTATGTATTCAATTCCCGCCCAAGGCTGCAGTTACGCAGGGACTGATCTCGGTACTTTATAGACTTTTCTATTTGATTGCGATGGTCCGTTACCACCAGCTAGCCTATACTTTTATTCCTGGCAATTGGCGCATATGTTCTAAAATCATGAATAGGGGTCCTATGGTCTGGCGATACTCCATTCAAAGGAGCCGTTGAAACGCTGGACATGCTTCGGAACAAAGGTACACAGACATTCCCTCAGTGTTCGCATTCGGTGTTGCTAACAAATACTTTTACTCTTAGGAAAGAGAATCGTCTTTGTTACGAACAACAGCACCAAGTCGAGAGTAGACTATAGGAAAAAGCTTGATGGCCTGGGAATCAAGGCTGGAATAGTGGGCTCTACCCCTCTCAATACGGATAACCGACAGGTACTGACTTAGCCACAACGTAGGAAGAAATATTTTCCTCGTCATACAGTGCTTCTGTATACATCTCGCGGATCCTGGAACTGCCAGCGGATAAGCGCAAGGTCTTCATTCTCGGTGAATCCGGTATAGAACAAGAACTCGCCGCCGAAAATGTGAGCTACATTGGAGGGACCGACCCGGCATATCGACGAGAAATCACACAAGAGGACTATCAGAAGATTGCCTCTGGTGATTCTTCATTTATGGATCCAGAAGTCGGCGTGGTGCTGGTTGGTCTGGATTTCCATATCAACTATCTCAAGCTAGCAACCGCATTGCACTATATTCGCCGAGGTGCCGTGTTCCTTGCGACTAACATCGACAGCACCTTGCCAAATTCAGGCTCTTTATTTCCCGGAGGAGGTTCCATATGCGCACCCCTTGTTGCTATGCTCGGAGGTGTAGGCGTACCTGGAGCAGAGCCCCTCTCACTGGGAAAACCTAGCCAGGCGATGATGGACGCTATTGAGGGCAAGTTCAAACTTGACAGAAATAGAACTTGTATGGTCGGCGACCGGATAAACACAGATATCAGATTTGGTATCGATGGAGGCCTTGGTGGAACTCTTGCAGTCCTTACTGGCGTTACCTCAAAGGATGAACTGATGACATCGTCAATAACCCCCACGGCATACGTTGATGCGTTGAGTGATTTGTTGGAGGGTGCATAGAATATTATAGATGATATATCTCCCACAGCTTAGATTTTGTATAGATCAAATAGACTCGCTTCCGATTATTCCTAAAACTCCTATATGTCAATGGTGTTATTATTGTACAGGTCAGCCACTCAACCACAAGGACATGGCTGCACAAATCGCTGTATTAATTAGGGCCAATCAATGACGGAAAACAGATTCTTCCTGTTCATTGCGTTCCATAAGGAACGACTTCAGGCGCCAGAGGTCCAAAGCAAATAAAGCCGACTTCCTCGATGCAGGTATAAAATATAAAGCATCTCCCTGAAACATCTCTCCAAGTTGACGGATTTCTCGAAGTTCCTCATCCGATAACATTTGCGTAAGATTGAAGACAGGAACTTGGGACTCGTGGATCGCTAGTTCAACCAGATCAACCGAGGGGTTGGGGTTGTTGGAGGCTGTTGAAGGGGTGGCATTACAATCAGAATTCTTGTTCATCTCAGCGGTGCGATTGTCAGCACGGAGAATTAAAACCATCCCACTCTTTATATCTCTTAATTCTGGGAGTTTGGTCAGAGACCTTTCCAATGCGTCCCGGGTAATGGTTTGATCGGCGATATTCAACGGCGTCCATGTATCTCGCCTTCGTTGTTTCTCTATTTTCGGTGTAACTCGCAATATTGTCCTAAGGCTCCTCAAAATTTCCCTTCTCATCGCGTTGAGTGCGTAATTGGACATATCCCCCCTCCAGACGAGCGTTTGCATAGAGCTTTTAGTGAGTGGGCCTTGTGGCAGCTTCCATGAGGGCGGAACCAGGCCTTTGCTGATATTCGAAAACTTTGGATTTGACAACATATCAAAGAGCGTTCCACTGTTTGTAACTCTGACCGAAGGGAATGCCGCCCTTCGTTTTGGCACTTTCGCAGTGCTGCCCCCAGGAACTTCACCGTCTGTGGGAGAGTTGTTTTCTCCGGCACCGACCTTAAAGTCTAGATCAATTTCCATTTCATTCAACTCATTTTCAAGCAGTGATGTAGGAAGTAGCCACAAAGCTGATGTCTCGGGGTGCTGAACAAGGCCAAAATCTATCATGAGCTCCGTGGGGAGCCGGGACATGGTTGCATGGCACAATCGGGGTGGACTTGCTAGAGCTAACGCCCAGGGGTTGCGTATCAAAGAGGAGTCTGTGTCCCACTCTTTGCTGCGTTCAATGTCCTTATTTGAAGATGCTCGTTTCTGGGCTCTTCTCAATATTACTGGCGACTCCACCAGGCCATCCGGTGCAGTCACGTCCGGGCGTTTGACTTCAGATGTGCTAATATATTGCCTTTCCGATTGCCTCCGAGAGGGTTGACAAGTAAAATAGCGAGCTCCTGGGTATAAGGGAGGGTATGCATAGAAGCATGATTGGAGGTGATGCTTTTGATACTCTATTCTTCGGCATCCCGTTGAAAACGTTGTATGTCCAAATATAGATTTTCCGTGCATCAATAATTGAGATGAGAGAAGGTTGGGTCTCATCTTGTGTTCACTATCCTCAGCTCATATTGTAATTTGAGATTGGTCGCAATGTATAACAAGGTAACGGATGAATATCAAATCGTTGGTCGCAGCTTTTTAACATCTGAAGTTTGAGCAAACGGCTGACTAAGCAGATCAAAGCGCGAAACCGCAAAAACAAACGAAACTGACGTTTTGCGCTTGAAGCTGGCAAACGCCAACACAGCTTTCTGCGATGGGAGTATATGAATTGTGCAGTGGCATCCCGGAGCGCTCGAGGGGTGTTATTTACTCCACTATCTCGGTCTTTTTTCGCTTACCTGTGCTCTAGCCTCCTCTGTTTCCCACCCGAAACATCTCTATGACAACCCAGGCTCCTATCACGGATGCCGAGTATATCACAGACGTCCTCAATATACCTAGCAGCCCAGGCCTGGAAGATGCCGAATCTATTGCTTCAGGTGGGGATCAGCCTGACCTCGACAGAAGAAGAGTCACCTTCGCAAAGTCCAAGTCCGTATTTCTCGACCGTCTGACTCGTGATTTCGACTTGCTGATATATTGCGAACTATCGGCTCTCTATTATATGGAGTAAGCTAGCTATCCCCTATGCCAACAAAGATCAAGTAATGAAGTTTGACTAATTCTTATCTCCCTACTAGTTGCTCTATCATCCATTTCGCCGTACGGGCCATAGTTCAGTTTCTATTTCTTACACCAAAAGCGGCCAACTTCCCCGAGCCACCGAAGAATCAGCCATATATTGGAGCAATTATTATAAGTAACCTAATCTGTATATTTCTCCACATTGCTTCAGCCAATCCATCCGCAGGAGAAGCATCCAGAGGATACCTTCATGGCGGGCTATTCATTGATTTTATCGGCCAAAAAGGACCTACTTCAAAACTTCAGTTGCTTGCAGTGGACCTATTGGTTGTATGCCTCCAGATCCTTATGGTGGGGGCCATCCTAGAGAAAGAAAAGGTCTCTGGGCTGATTTCATCGCGGCGAACTGCCGAACCCATTGCATCTTCGACAGTGCCAGAGCAGGATCATGATTCCGAAGAGCAAGGACTTCTGAGGTCGTCTCAAAATTTGTCCAGCCAGGAGGATGACATGGAGAACCGGCAAGTAAGTGGCGTCGAACTCTCAAGCCTAGGTGGTGACAGAGGTGTGAATACAGCCAGCGGTATGCATCCGCGCGATTATTTTCACTCGGGGGAGGCCCTTGTTATGAACTTGAACATCAGCCGTACGCTTCGACAGCAGTGGCATAACCGAACATCCGCGCTTGTGACCCCCCACGCCTCGTTGAGTGGTACCAGAGTCCCTGCAAGTACATTCATTAGGCATCAACTGGGCCTCCAAGCCGAACGCGACTCTTAACAACTTCAGTTTACATATATATTTTCTACGGGATGGTTTGTGCCTGTCCTGGCTTCCATCCAAGCATATGGCTCTGTATATATCTATTGTTTACCATTATCAATATATAATATAATATAATATTATATAATAGTGGAATTATCGGCATCTAGGACTGAGGGGATTACGTCTATATAACAACTCTACGCACATAACCACTATAAAAAATATCATCAAGGTATTGTTGAGATCGCCTATCGTACACCATTATTGTGATTCCATGCTTCATGACGTTGACTCCTCCTTTGAAGGCACTCGTCGGTCAAGTATAGAATCTACAATACCCATTTCCAGAGCTTCCTTTGCGCCCATGAAATAGTCTCTCTCCATCAGCTTCTCTATCTCGTCGAGAGTCATTTCCTTCCCTGTCAAATGGCGTTTGTATATCTGATTTAATTGGTGTCGTACTCGAAGGATCTCCTTCGCGTGTATGGCGATATCCGTTGCCTGGCCGAAGTACCCTCCCGAAGGCTGATGGATCATAACCGACGAATGCGGAAGGCAGTATCTTTTCCCAGCCTCACCACCACATAATAGAAGGGACCCCATTGATGCCGCTTGGCCCACACATATTGTACTAACAGGAGATTGGATATATGTCATGGTATCATAGATTGCCAGTCCTAGAACGAAGTTATTTAGTTGTTTATACTACGTTATATCGGAGCGAAAAAATTGAAGCGAAGGTAGCGTACCAGCTGTTACCGATCCACCTGGTGAATTGATATAAAGTTGAATGGGCTTCTCTGGGTTATCGGCTTCGAGGAATAATAGTTGCGCAACTATTGCGGCTGATAATGTTTCGTCCACCTCGCCATTGAGGCATACAATGCGCTCCTAACGGATGTGTCAGAATAGCTTATATTGACTCAAACAGGGAGGACAGCAATGCCTACCTTTAAAAGGCGGGAAAATATGTCATCTCCAGGTGTTTAGGTTGTTAGTGAGCTCGATGAACATATGACTGGGGAATATCGCATACAGGTGTGCCAGCCACCTCCCTATATATCACAAAATTATCAGCTTCGTATTCCAATATAGAAAGACCATGCGCAACGTACCACTGTCTCAGTCACGAATGGAGTTGGAGTCCAGTTTCGCGGCGGAGTTGGAGCAGAGTGAGAGTAGCTTCTTGAGAGCGATCGAGAGCTGGAAATAGCCAAGCGATTGAGTATCCGTAGTCGGTTCATAGCTGAATACCAATACCAAGAGGTTCAACTCCTTGAGTGTAAGAGTTGTTGCTGGTAATATGTCTATTCAGTTGGCTGTTGTTCGCGTGCTTCTCTTGAGCTGTAAGATGAAGTCGAAAGAGAGCCCCAATTAACTCGCAAGTTAGTTGTTTACGTAATCACTTTTTGAGCCGCAACGTTCTACTACACAGCGCAAAAACATATGAAGGTCAAAGTAGAATGTAAAAAATTATGGTATAACCAGTAAAGAGTGTACTGGACGCCTAAATGGACTGTATTATGCCCGATATTTGTAACATGAAATCCAGAGTCGAAAGGTGCTCATCAGCCCCATCTACTAACCGCTTATCAAACTCGGAGCAGACCTTCAATATCTGATTCTTATGTGCATCTGAAATAGATTCATCTTGAAGTACTGCTTGGTATGTCTTGAATTCTGTTAACAGATTTTCCTTTAAGGTCCGTGGGAGTTAAGAGACATACCTGTGACAGGACCTGAGAGGCACTCCATCCATCAGCCACCAGGTCAGCTACGAGATTTGAGATTTGCTCGTAATTTGAGGTACGCTTGTTGGGGCGAAGAGCCGCAATAACTTGTTGCATAACAGTTTCTGGAACTAAGCCAGATACTTCTTCAATACTTCTGACCGTAATCCTGGGTTTGGTATCATCAAGTTCCATCTCCTTATCAGACGTGTCCTTTTTTTTCCCTGAGCCATAGCGGGCCAGTCTTGCGGAGCTCTGCATAAATGTTATAGCCTTTCGCAGGTCACCATCGCTGCATCGAAGGAGGGTCTCAACAACATTATCCTCCAAGTCTAGTTTCTCCATTCTTGCAATCTCAACCAGCCGGTTTTGGGCAGCAGAACCATCTAGTACTTTGAACCGGAATTTGCTGCATCTACTCGCCACAGGATCGATTATTCTGGTGACATAATTGCATACGAGACAGAATCGAGTAATGCGGCTGTACTTCTCCATGGTTCGGCGAAGCGCAGATTGTGCGTCGTGTGTCATACTATCTGCTTCATCGAGAATGATGATTTTGAACGGCGGGCAAGGATATTGCGAGCGGTAGGCTGGGTCTGGTGGGGGTTGGGATAGGTGCATTCGAGCAAAATCTTTAATCTTTTCACGAACAATGTTTATCCCACGCTCATCCGAGGCGTTGAGCTCAAGGACTCTCGAGCGGACAAGAGCAGGCCCAAAGAGGGATTTGGACATGGCAAGGATGGTTGAGGTCTTTCCAGTGCCTGGAGACCCATAGAAAAGCATATGTGGAAGCTGAATTTGTGGTGCAATGTGTCAGAAATAATGTGAAGTTAGGGAATTTGAACGGGCGATATTCCACGGATTACATTTGAAGCATGAAGATTTCGCTGGAGAACAGAGATTGTGTGGTCTTGAGCTGTCACATCATCGAGAGTCTTCGGTCGACTAAATATCATATCCTAACGATTAGTCTCTGTGCAAGCTTGAGTTGTGGATTTGACCTACTATTTCTCAACCCACGGTTGGGCCTGCTGGTCGGAGTCCTGGTTGTTGGTTACATTGCTTTTGGCCGCAGAAGCAGCCGCAGCGCGGGCTTTATTGTTAAAAAAGTTTGCCGCCATGACAAGGCAGTTATAATGGCACAGAAGAAATGCTTGGGATCCGTGGTGGGATGAGACGTTCCTAGAGGCGTTGAAAATAAAGTTGCAAGTCGCGTCGAGAGAAATTGAGGCGCGTTAAAGCGCGGTTGACTAATTAGTTTATTAGCCGCGGAGTGGCGCCAGATTGCGCTAACTAAAGAAAGATTGGCGGCTGAAAGCGGAGCCGCGGAGATCACGGGACACTTCGTTTGCCCAAATTGCATGAAGGATTCGATTCCGTTTACGGCGCAAGGCTGCACAGCTTTTGGCCCCCAGTTCCAATCAAAACGGTGTCCAGGGTATATTTTGTGTGGTTACCACCCTTTTTCACCTATGGTAAAACCATTACAACTCTTTCTCCTCCAACAATTGAGGGACAGTGTGCCAAATGGAATCTTCTGCCCCGGTGGGTTACTAGCTCGGCTTTTGGCGAAAGCAGCCCTGGCGCTTGACATGGATTAGAAAAGCGCATATAATGGTGTAAAGTCACATCTCCCAATCGCTCTCAGCTGCAAGGTCTAGCTCCCCATTTGCCAACAGGCCCGGATTTTCAATTTTCATTCGCTCAGGGTTTAAAATGCCAATGCAAGGCTATCGATCCTGCAGGGGAAAGATCATTCTCCATCTCTCATAGTTATATAATGAAATGAGCGTTCTCATTTTCCTTTTTTTTTCATCCTCGCAAAAAGTCATAGTACAATGTCACCTCATGACTCCCTCAATATGAACCAGAGTGGCCCTCCCTCTAAATCTGGTCATACAATCCAGTTTTGGGGCATTTTTGTCGCTCTATGTATTCTTTCTTTCATCTCGGCCCTCGATGTCGCTATTATCACCACAGCCCTCCCCACTATCACGGCCGAGATCGGGGGTGCCAATATATATGTTTGGATCGCGAATTCTTTCGTGCTGGCTTCGTCGGTGTTACAACCACTCTGTGGTCAACTTGCAAATATATACGGGCGTCGCATACCCTTCATAGGCTCCATTGTGCTCTTTACGCTGGGTAGTGGCATTGCCGGTGGTGCAATAAACGCAGGAATGCTAATAGCAGGCCGCACAATACAAGGTATCGGGGCTGGAGGTATATATGTGCTGATTGATATCGTTTGTTGCGACTTAGTCCCTCTTCGAGAACGTGGGAAATATTTAAGCTTGATGTTTTCATGGTCTGGAGTGGCGGCTGCATTGGGGCCAGTTGTTGGTGGAGCTCTCGCTGAAGCAAACTGGCGTTGGATATTTTACCTGAACATCCCAATTTGCACCGTAACGCTGGTGATATTACTGCTCTTTATGAGAGTAAAGACTACAAAACTTGCCGACTCTGGATTAAGCCAAATAGATTTTCTTGGAAATCTCATCTTTATCCCGAGTATGATATCTCTCCTTCTTGGCCTGGTTACTGGAGGTATCGAGCACCCTTGGTCTAGCTGGCGCATTATTCTTCCATTGGTACTAGGTATCGCAGGCTGGATCTGCTTCCATATCCAGCAAAGCTACTCCAGCCATCCAAGCGTACCTCCACACTTGTTTAGCAACCGTACGTCGGCCGCTGCGTACCTGTTAACATTCTTGTCGTCCGTCCTAGTCCAAGCTATCTCATATTTCCTCCCTATTTACTTTCAGGCAGTCCATGGTACAACAACCTTGCGCTCTGGTATCAACTTTCTCCCGTTTGCAATCAGTACCTTAGGCTCAGCGGTTATATCCGGTATACTGTTAAGTAAATTCGGTGCTTATCGACCAATCCATGCAGTATCTTTCGCTCTGTCTGCTATCGGGTTCGGGCTTTTGACTCTTTTGAACGGCCACACGAAAGTTGTATCTTGGGTTTTCTTCCAATTAATTGCAGGTGCAGGCTCAGGAACAATATTATCTGCCTTGTTACCGGCCATTATGGCGGCTCTTGCAGAATCCGATGTCGCATCATCATCTGCCACGTTCAGCTTCGTTCGAACCTTCGGGTACATCTGGGGAGTAACCATCGCCTCCATAATATTCAACGGACAGTTCAACAAGAACCTACCATTGATATCCTCACCAGCTCTGAGGGATCAGTTGAAGAATAGCGCGGCATACTCGTTTGCAAGCCAAGCCCATAGGCTTCGAACAATTATTCCTGAGTCCGTGTGGAACGAGGTTGTGGGAGTGTATGTTAAAAGTCTAAGAGCAATCTGGTGGGTTGGGTTAGGATTTAGCATTGTCGGCTTGTTTGTGGTTGCATTGGAGAAAGATTTGAAACTGAGAGAGGACCTAAAAACAGAATATGGCATCGAGGATGAGAAAGATAGCAGCTCACCTACGGATGAGGAAAGTGGCCTTGAAATGAATTAATGACTGGCAAATTTATATAGATATAGCGCTGACAATAGATAACATGTGGTTGGCTTTAACCTAAACACCCCCGCGCTTCCCTAAACAATATTATTGTAAAGGCGACAGGGCATCCAATTTGGAATATACCTATGGGCTCATACCTTCTGTGAACCTCTTGGAGTTTCTTCTTACTTCTGACGCTGTAGTATCCAATAGAACATTACGGCAAGAATCCCCTTCATCCTCCTTGCTATCCCAGTCAGTGAATCAACGCACCAACACAAAGAGGGCCATAGGCCTGGGGAATTACCCCCCTTTTCGGAAGTATAAGGCGTATGGCTGCAAGCTAAGAAGGGAAACAAGGCTTATCAGCGTTCTTAACAGGGTGAGAACAGATATATAAATATCAAGTATATCCAATAAAAGGAATATTCCTTTCAGAATAACATCTTGCCTTGTATCTCGTCCCAGAGGGCCGCAATAACTTGAATGGTAACTTGATCGGATAATTGGCCAATAGATTCAAAAATTGGCTATCTAGTATATGTAGTAAACCTAACCTCGTGTACAGATATCAACAAAGTTTCCGGCATATCATAGGTATCGGGACGGACGCATCTTCGTCCGTAACATACCGGGGGCGGGATAGGTGTAGCCTGGTACTCCGTATATATCAACCGGTTACTTAATTGCCGGGGTCCCTTGAATTGTAATATTTGCTGGATATTGGGTATTTGGCGGGGATCATTTTCCCCGCCCTGCTAGTACAAGTCCAAATGATAATATGTCCCAGCACTTTGGGACTTCAGTTGGGACGGGACAATTTCTCATCTTATTCCATGCATAACGTCGATCTCTAGCACTGCCCCGAATACTTGGCCTGTGATTCAGCATCAGCCAACATGAGGCAATATGCCACATCGAGGTGGTGGAGAAATAGCCCTAGTAATTAAATAATCTAGCTGGCGTGCATTTCTTGTCTCATCGGTGCTAAGGCCCACTCAAAGAGTTGCTCGGTACGTGGTAAAGGAGAGCAATGGATGTAAAAAAGAGAGTAGTTAATTGTCTTGGAATAAAGTCATGATTGCGTTCGTTTATATTGACTAACGACATTAGAAGAAAGGATCGCCAACCAGGGCGAGTAATGAGTATAGATCGCTAGAGTTCATCCCCATGCCCATGAGGACCCTCCCACATCCTCTTTTTAGGATTAGGATATACCTTTGGACCATTGGGTATGGTTGTAGGCCGCTCATTCTCCTCCGCTGCATTATCCGCCCCCGTCCAGCTTTTAATATCTTCGGCCATGTCAGGTATACCATTAACATCAGCTTTCTTAGTAGTGTCAGGGTTCCAAAGAGAATTAGTCGCAGTCGCGCCCATGTTAGTTGTCATCAAAGGCTTAGTCGGTACAACAGACTTAGAACCTGCCATCGATACACCGCTAGAAACTCCAAATATAGTAAACGTGATTCTAGCAGCGATTTTGAGAGGGAGCCAGACTATCCACCAAAGTGGGCCGTAGAGCCACCGTCGAAAGATGAGCCATGATATGGTTCCTATTAAAATATAAAATGCCGTTTCGAGATACCATGTATCTGACTTTTGAGAGCGAACAAGTGAGCTCACGAGAGATTTGGATGACGCAAGTAACGTATCCAGGTTGGTGTACGATTCTGAGAGCGAACTCAACGCTTTATTTGATTGTTCTGAACTTTGGATTAGCAAACCGCGGATATGGATGTTTTGGGGATGGAGCAGCCCACCTAAAGCCTCTTGAGCAAACTGGCTCCTTGAAAGCTCCGCCTGCATGAGATGATGTGTTTGTCGTAATGCAGCAGTAACATCCTTGGACGAGCTTGCAACAAGGTCGCCATGTGTAAACCTCGGTGTTCTCCTGTTCGGCACATCCTCCCCCTCCGCAGAGGGTTGAAAGAGGAGCTGTCTCTGTCTATTCTTTGCCTTTTCCGAACTCCGCTTAGCTTCTATCTGAGCTCGTCTGAACTTTGATCGAGCCCTATTAGGTTATGTTAGCTAACGTACATCTACAGCTATCGCAAAACAAGATCCATACATTTTTAAATCCTCCTCTATCTTCGCCATGAGAGCCATAGCCCTGCCTGCCTCGGCGTCAAAGAGGACACTCTCGCGGCGCTGATATCGCCTTCGATCAAGAGGATGAGTCTCCACGCGCAGAACCTCCATCTCTTCTTCTATTTCCCCGAGGTCCTGATGGATCTCGGTACTTAGATTGATACGTTCATCGTCATCATGGGTATCTGAGCTGCCAAAGGAGTATAGACGACGTATCAGGCCTGAGACCTTCTCGATAGACGCCTCAACGGAAGCAAGACGGGAATGGAGAGAAGCAGGCATTATGGGTATCACAGCATCGACTTTCTTTCTATGAAAAGAGGAACAATATCATTCATAAATGTAGATGTTCAAGTTGTTTGTATGGTTTGGTGAATGTTGATGTCGAGAATAGGCGACGTTGGTCTTTCGATACATCACGTGACACTTCAAATCATTTTGCGTTCCTCAGGATAAGCCGTTAATGAATCTTCAATCGCAAGCAGAACAAGCCATACAACATCTGTCAGGTGCCAATTACGTATATACAGCATTATATTTTCTATATCATGTACGTGTACCCTCATACCGAGTCCAATGCCAATTACTAACCCGTTCTAGACCAGTTATACCACCATCACGAAATATCAGAAACCAATTTAAAACGCAGAAAAAGAGAAGAATAGACGAAGACGAAAATGGCTCTACCACTACGATCAATAACCTCATTCCGAACCTCGTTCTCACCTCTCTCCCCACTTTCTCGGCCATGCAAATTGGTTCTCGCGCTTCTACAAACACCCATGACAGCCTCTCCGTCGTCAGCAGCACATATAAAGATCGACGTGAAGCATCTACCGAAGAACTCCAAACAACTGCCTGAGATGACTGTTGGGTTCCGGAACGGCAAGGAGGTGAAGTTGGAGGTGGGCAAGCTACGGCTTTCAGTAGGGGATGTTATGGAGGAAGTTGGGAGGGTAGGGAGACTTATTGAGAGGGAGGAGAGTTTGAAGGGTTAGAACATTGCTTGGTGAATGGGGGCAGTTTATGGTGTTGGGAATGTATGTATATTAGATGTGTTTATTACAATTGATTTTATTTCATGCATATATGGGAGAGAGACGTAGGAGTGTTGGGTGAATGGTATAAACTTGGTATTTATTTTCATTTATTTATTGGATGGCTAGATACAATGAGTGGGCATGATCAAGTAAATAGCTGGGGTGGCCGTGGGCTCTGCCCCGGATTATCTATGAACATCTACGGCATGAAAAGGAGGCTCGCCTCCTGCAAGACTTTTTTTTAAGTCATTGGACTGGTAGAAGACGGTTAGACAGCGGCACCGGAGATGAAGAACCACTTGTCAATGCTGCCGTCGATGGGGGCAGGTGGCAGGTTGGAGCCAGCGGGGATGCTATCGACCTTGGAAGGTTCAGCACGGTTCTTGTCGAGAGTGGAGTTGCAGCTGTATTTGTTAGCAGGTGATATGCATGCTAGAAAATAGTATAGGAGACACGACTTACAGAGAGATGCCGCCAGCGGGGGACTGGCCGGACATGAGCTTCTCCCAGGCCTCGGCACACTCGTGGATGACGTCCATGGCGTACCTGTAAACATGTTAGAATACCAATAACCTAATGTAAAGAGAATAGACGAGAAAGACGTACTTGGAGTTCTTGCACTCGCCGGAGAAGGCGAACTGGTTCTCTGGCTTGCCGTCCGGGATCTTGTAGATACGGAACCACTCGTTGGTGGCTCTGAGGAGGCCGGGGAGGTGGCGTTCGACGTCCTCGATGTCCTTGAGCTTGGGAGCGAGAGGGTCGTTGACATCGATGACGATGATCTTCCAGTCGGTCTCCTCCTCGTCGAGCAGGGCCATGACACCGAGGACCTTGACCTGCTTGACCTGGCCGGGGTAGCCGACGAGCTCACCGATCTCGCAGACGTCGAGAGGGTCGTTGTCTCCCTTGGCCTTGGTCTCGGGGTGGACAACATTGGGGTCCTCCCAGGTCTGTGCCCGTCGTGTTAGCTTATCTGTCCTCCCCCTCCTTACCCCTTTGCATGGATGACGGAGAGTGCACTCACTCGTGGGAAGGCACCGTAGTTCCAGAGGTAGCCCTTGTGGGGGAAGCAGTTGCGGACGAAACGCAGCTTGCCCTTCTTGGTGTCCTGCTTGATGGGGTTCATGAAGTCGTCCTTGGAGATCTGCCATCGAGTCGGTCAGTACAATCCACTACCCCTCCACGGACAGAAACAGGACGAGGGGGACAAACCTCCTGCTTAGCGTTGGTCCAGCGAGGAATCTCGACGACCATGTTGAGGATGGTCTTGCTCTCGTCGGCGTAGAGAGGGATGTCGTGGAAGGGCGAGATTGGGACGCCATCCTTCTCGATGTATGCCCGCCACTCGAGGGTGTTGAGGGCGCCGACGTTACGGACGGTGTAGGCCATGCTGGACGACGGTGACGGTGACGACGAGGAAGAAGTAGAGAGGTGCCGTGAGACTAGGGCTGTTCGACTGATGCTTGCTGGCGCCAGTCTGGATGGTGAGAGAGCTGAAGACCTGAAGAAGCGAGAGGAGGAAGAAGACGAAGTGGCGGAGGCCCGAGAATAAGTAGTGAAGCGGGACAAGCAAGAGACGCAGGAGTCGCTGCGGGCAGAAGAAACGAGGGCAGAACCGGAGATTGTGGGGGCGATTCTGCCGGCCATCCTCAGACACCGCTTTCACCTCCTGCTTTGACTTTTGACGCAACGACAACAGTAAACACGACAGTGATAACAACAGCAACGATGACGACGAGATACTCGAGGAAGTACCTGATGATACCTGACGATACCTGACGGATGCCGAAGAGGACGATAGCGACGGGAAGACCTATAGACGGCCCGAGTCGGCTGAGTCGGTTGAATCTCGATTGACGACCGCGATGCCGAGTGAGATGTCGTGCTTCTGCAGGCAAGGATCGCTGCTGGGATGAGACTCGCGACGGTTTCAAGCCAAAACACGGTTGGCCAGGCTCAATTGATGCTCGTGCTGCCTCCCGATGTGATATATCTGTTCTCTCGCGGTCCCTCTGCCTCGACGCTGCTGCTGCTGCTGCTCGCGCTGCCGGTTCCTGGTGTTCCTGGCGCGGCCGCTGAAGATTTTCCCGATCTAGATGCCGTGATTAGGTAAGCCGCTGAGAAATCTTCGATCTCGCCCTAGGGAAAAACTCCGCTCACCAAGGATTGCCAGACAGACAAGACGCAAGATAAGGACGCCAGTTAGATACGATACCAGCCTGATAGACGACAGGCAGCCAGATACGGTCAGAGCATGATATGAACAGGCTGGTCCGCTCCGTCATGGCCCTGGGATCGTCGTCGGTCGCGTCTCAGGCCAGAGTGCCCATCCCCAAGCATGGAGTCGACTACCGTGGGAAGGTCGTCCTCGCCCCCATGGTGCGCTCCGGCGAGCTGCCCTCTCGTCTGGTCTCGCTGAGGTACGGCGCAGACCTCGTCTGGGGCCCCGAAACCATCGACCGCTCTCTCATCGGCGCCGTCAGGCGTATCAACCCCCGCAACAACACCGTCGAGTTCACCCGCGTGCCCTCCCACCCGGCTCCAGATGCAAAGGATAAGGTCTCCGTCATCTATCGAATCGACCCCGCCAGGGAGAAGGGCAAACTCATCTTCCAGCTGGGCACCGCCTCGCCAGACCTCGCCGTCGAGGCTGCCAAGGTAATCGCCGACGATGTCTCTGGCATCGATGTCAACGCTGGCTGCCCGAAACCCTTCAGCACCCTCGGTGGCATGGGTGCCGCCCTCCTGCAGACCCCGGACAAACTCGTCTCGATCCTTGAGGCTCTGGTGCGCGAGGTCGGCCAGCCCTGGCAGATCGGTATCTCTGTCAAAATACGACTCCTCAAGGACCCCAAGGATACCGAAAGGCTAGTCACCGCCCTCTGCGCAACCGGTATCACGGGACTTACCATCCACTGCCGCACCACGCCCATGCGGCCCCGCGAAGCCGCCATCCGCGACCAGCTGCCCATGATAGCTGCCATCTGTCGCTCGGCGGGCGTGGCGGTTCTTATGAACGGCGACGTTAAGTCCAGAGACCATGCTCTCGAACTCATGAGCCAGTACGACGTCGACGGTGCCATGATTGCTACTTCAGCTGAGTCAAACTTCTCCTGCTTCCGTAGTGCTGCGGATGGAGGGCCTCTGTCGTGGCGTGAACTGGCGCATGAGTACATCTCCGTGGCAATGGAGTGCGAAAACAAATGGGGCAACACAAAGTACCTTCTCAACATATTCTTACCCGGCAAGGACAAGGTTGCTCAAGTCGTCAAGTCTTCACGGACATATACACATTGCTGCACCATACTAGGATTCACTGACCTACTCCCTGCTGCAAACAAGATTGATGCTATACTCGGCATATCGGACAGGACGGAAGCCGGTCTAAAGCGCAGTGCAGAGCTTCTTGGCCCAGCGCTTATGGCCCCTGCCTTTTCTGCTTCCACTACTCAAGAGGTCGACATACCGCTTGACTCGAGCGTACTGAGAGGTGATAGCCTCGCTAACCAAATCGTCGCATGAACGTTCCATCAGCGGGACTTTGCATCTTCTTCACTCTACTACACACGGCCGGCGTTATGGGACGGAGCATCAATCATGGTCAACCTACTCAATACATCTTCCTAGACTATTCAGTGATAATACACTTTTACATCTTCTATTTCAAGAACACTCAGTATATAAATTAAAAATGGTATATATTTCTAAGCTATCATTATCATGAGCTGGTATGGTAACATTTAACATAAAAATAAGTCTTTACATGGAGACAGTGTGCTGTCCGCATCCACCACCGGACATCTTAGCGTACTTGGGGTTAATCTCACGCTTAGCAGTCTTTGGGCGGGTTGGGAATCCACGGAGGGACTGAGCATACTGAGCAACAGCATAGGCGATGGCTCGGGTGTTAAGGAACATAGCGAAT